CTCGCAAAACGCGCATTACTTTTGCACCAACCTAATAAATCGCTTGTTTATCTTGACCAGTTACCAGGTTTACCATTAGAAAGACGTTTGAACCTGCGTATGTAAAGGTGGTATGTAGTGCTCTAAGAGCGATTTTGGAAACTATCACGGACAACTACGTCACTGCAGAAAATTTCTCAAGATTTGGAGTAGGAGTATGCAAAACAAGCAAGAAAAGAATAATTTGGCTCATGATCTATTTTACGCAAATCATGCGGTAGCTCATCTTTATTGTCAATTGCTCGCCATTTTCTCCATTTTCCAAATCCATTATATGCAGTTATAACTGCGATTCAATAGTGATTGATAAATCTACAGATACAATCCCTTTTCCGGATCAATTTACTCCTGTACAACAAATGTGAGTTCTGTTTCCATTGTCAAGCTAAGTAGCCTATTAACTCACATCAAATTTTTTCTAAAGAACTGCCTTTACAGAATCACTTGTTGCAAATTCTTACCCCGAATTTTTTTGTTCTGAAAGAACATTACTGTCTTCAAAAATATCTCATTTGCTCTCGTTTTGTTTCTCAAGTAATCCTCTTTCCTTCTAAAATTAGGCAAATATTCGCACTGCTTTCCGGCAAAGAAAGTGTCGCCAGCAAATCTTCGCAGGCAACTGTTACGTACTGTTATCGTGTAGCGATTATTTGTGGCAGTTGTCCGATCGGGCGCAATCTCTCTAATAAAAATATGAGAAACATAACCTACTTGTAAAATGTTAGCATTCCACCCGTAATCGCCATGTTCATCGGTACTTGCGCCGACATCCTTCCAATGATGAACATTTTTTCTCCAGTAGTAGGATGAAAGGCGGAGTCGACCACGTGTTTCGCTTTCCATAATTCATTCACAGTCAAATTTTCTGGTGCTTCACCTTTCCTAAATAAAGAAGTAAATTTATGCGAAATGCCCCAGAAAAGGAATTGTTTCCCTTTCATTTTCAATTTTGGAGGATATTGTCAATGTCGACGCTGAATAAACACTTCACTTGTCTGCGTCAAACCCTACTTCAAACCAAATTTATTGATTTATTTACATAGCCAAATTTTAAAAGAAAGTTATTTTGCTATGTTAGAGAGGAATTGTGCCTACCTGTAATCGTCAACTATCCGCTTGTATCTTTTTAGCTGCGCGTTGGTGTTGAAGAGATTCAGAGGGTTGGTTATGGCAAAAAAGTGCTGAAAATGATTATCATGAACAGTATTGTTTGAAAACTTCAACAAATCAACAGATAATACCCTAGACCTGCCCTCGAAAGTGCTCTGATCCCATCTAGGCTTTGAGATGTCCGGCTTCAGCACCAACGACCTCACCAATTCGGACATTCTTCAAACGATATCGGCATGAGAGTACCAAACGACAAGTTTATTACTTGTATCAAACATCGACACAGAGCTAAGAGCAGTTGGACTAGGTGGCTGTCAGCGATCCATGATGGCAAAGGCAATTGCAAATGGCCGAGACGCGATTAGATAGCAACTGATTTGATAACGGGGCCCTGGCGCTAACCTCTCGAAGTGACATTGTGTCTCAATGTTAAAAACGTTTCGTACTAGCTCACGAGAAAAAGACTGAGGTGATCTGATCGTAAGCTGATGAAATTAAAGAATTTTTGCAAGTTAGGGCAAAAGAAACGTAGCATTACACACCTACAACGGTGAAATTACCGTAACCCCAAAAGCTAGTGTGAGAACAGCTCAGATGGATTTGACAAAAACATGTCTTTTCCGTTTTCTGAAGTTCTAACAGAGAAAAGCCGCGTACATAAATGTGTAATATCTAATATCGTGCGTGAGAGAGTAGAAATTTTTGTTGCATTTTCTGAACAAAGTTACGAATTTTTC